GGATCGATATAGATATCTAAATTTCTAATCCAATAAATAAAAGATTGGGTATAAATATGTTAGAAACTCTAATCATGGATACTTATTACTAGGGATGACCATGTATCGTGTATAAAATGTATATATGTTTCAAGAATGTTTCTCTTATCTAACCCAATAAATATGCATTAAGAATGACTAATGTGTATTGAAATGAGTAAAAGTAAAAAAATATATACTAACTAATATGATTTTAAGATATGGATACCTACTATTTACTTTATTAATACCCATTAATTTATTTATTTTTATTAACATGTAGAAATCTAATTGCATAAATTTAAAAATTAAGGATCAAAATATTTTTAAAAAAAACTTAAAGGACAAAAAAATTTATAAATAAATGACCAAAATGCCAAAAAAAAATTAAGATCAAATTTTTTTTTGAAAATTATAGAGACTAAAATAAATATTTTTAATAAATTAAATTTAACTGGTATTAAATAAGTATTTAATGAATGGATAAACTAATATGGATTGAGTATGAGATAGTTAAAGATCTATACAATGATTTCTTAACGGATAATGGATAAAATATTATTTTTTATGAACATAATAAAAAATTGAATTAATGGACCAGATATGTGTTCATTTCCATTCTTATTCATTGCCATCCTTATCTATAGTTACAGGCTTGATTTGATTTTACCTAATATCTATCAATCTCCTTTGTTTTTTTTTTTAATTGTTATTTCATGAAAAATCAAACACACACGTCACTTAATTTTTCAAAATCAAACAGAGCCGATTAAAGGTTCATTTGATTCATGCACGTTAATCACATTCTATGTAACTAAGAGATCTGAAGCAAATGAACTGTAATCACTATTTATTACTGTTCATTTGCCTTAATTTATTGTTTACCATTTAGTGTTTTTGTAATTTTCTTCAGCCTTTTTTTTTTTTTTTTTTTTTCAACTTGCTATCTTTCCTCTCTTTGCCCATGCCACTTATCTGATAGCCCAAAAAGCAAGTGTTCATGGTCTGGTTGATTTCTTAGCTTCCATTTTTTTGCTTTACTGGAGATAATAATGGAGGAATGTGTGGTAGAGATTATTGGATTAGTCTTTGATTGGCCTTTTATTACAGAAGATGAAAAAACCTTTCATGCATATTGAAGAATGTAGCTGATTTACCACACAACTTTTTTTTTTCCTTTGATTTTTTTATGAATTTATATTCTTTTTTTTATTTAGCTAGGTGTTAAAATTTTTAAAAATCAATCCGTTATTTTTTTTCACATAAATTGACGATTATATAATATATAAGATATATTTTTAGGTCTTAGAATAAATATATATAACTCTTATTGTTTAAAATTGATCTTTTCAGTTTATTATAAAAATTCACATCAAGTTAATTTTGATTCTTATTTTTATATAACTTTATTTATTAATAAATATGATTTATTTTCTCTATGTATGGATTCGAATAAGTTTATTTATACCTGTTTTTATTTGCTTAATTCTTAATTTATGCCATACATTCTTATCCATTGAGTACGGTCATGATGTTGAAAGATAATAATATTAGAGTCATTGATTTTTATTAGAAATCAACAATGCATCTACACATAATATCAACTATTTGCTATTATTTTTTAATATTTTAAAATTAATTTTTTCAAATAAATAAATTAAAATAATATTTTAGCATAACCGTCTAATAATTTTGAATATAATTTTGTATACAAATATTATTCATTATTTTATAGATAAATATATATAAATCAAATGTATATATTTTAAAAAATAATCTTCTCATCTATAAAAAAGCTTTATTTGTTAATTTTCATACAATTTTGATATTAATTGTTGTTTTATTTCTTTGATACAATGCTATAAAAAATATATTAAGAAATTTTTTAAATTTATATTAAAATTTGTTTATTATGGGTTTTCATTTAAGAAAAAATGCATAAGAAAAAAATCATATTTTTTTTACTTCAAAAATTATTCAAAAAATATATAAGAATACAAATTTTTTATTAAAAATAATCAAATAAGATGAAATTTTATTTTTTATATTTAATTTAATTTATTTTAATTAACCGACAATATATTATATGTTTATCAAATTAAAATAAATATGTTTGTTCAATCTGTAGCGTAGCGTCGGAATCCAAATTGTTCATATGCCTAAGATTCTTATTCACTTACTCTTCATATGCATAAAATTACCATTTATTTGATAGCAATTTAAGTAATTTTTGTGTGTGGTTTTTGTTATGTTTTTTTTTTGGCATTAATTAACACTTTTTCCTATTTTCGTCCCTTATGTTGTAACATTTTTTTTTCAATCCTCGGCTTTTATTTTTCTTTCATTTCCATGCAGCGTGTATATATATATATATATATATATTATTTTAAAATTAATATATACTTAAACTTATATTACTTTTATTATTTAAATTTCATTCTTTAAATTTATCATTTTTTATGAAAATTCTCATCCAATAATATTTTTATATAAAATTTTATTTACTAATAAATATAATTTATTTTTTTCTATGTTTGAATTTTAGATAAATTTTAAAACATGATTGTTTTTTCTTTTTCAAAAAATAAATTGGTATAATATATATAATGAATTCTTAGAATTTTTAAATGATAGTTACATATATATAAATATATAATTATTTTATTCTAAAAGATTAAAAGTGTATTTCAAATAATTTATTTCAACTCGCTACGTATGGTTAAATAACTATACATCTTCTAACATAATATAAATTATTTAAAATTAATATTTTTTTAACATTATAGAACCAATTTATTTGAAATAAAATAATTAAAATAATTTTTTAAAGGAACCAACCAATTATTTAAATACAATTTTTATGCTAATTATATTGATTATTCTTTTGGAAATAAATATATAAAGATCAAATGCATATACTTAAAAAAAAAAAATCTTCTCATGAACATTAAATAAAAATAAAAATTTACTTTTTATTAGTTAATTTTTATGAAAATCTATACATTAATTGTAACTTCATTTTTTGAGACATTCTTATAAAAATATATATTTTTTAAAGTATTTTTTAATTCTTAATTAATATTTTAGGTTTAAATTATTACAAGTTTTTGTTTAAAAATCCCGGATTAAAAAATAATAAATCATGTTTTTTTTTTTTAAGTAGAAATTATATGAAAAGCACACACACACACACACACACACATATATTTGTAATAATTAAATAAAAAATGAATGAAAAAATTATAAAATTTTGAAATGGTTTTGTTTTATCTCGCCCTCGGCATTCGATTGATAATTTCAAAAATTAATTTTCTCATCAGCATTAAATAAGATTTTTTTCATTTATTAATTTTTATAAAATTCTATCAATTAATCATAACTTTATTCTTTGAAATACAATATTATGAAAAATATGTTTTAAAAGTTTTTTTAATTCTTGATTAATATTTTAGTTAAAATTATTGTAATTATTTATTTATTTTAATCAATCCATAAAGAAGAATGATTTATGTCTTTTTTAATGAAAATTTATGAAAATCATTTGAAAAAATTAATTAAATAAAAAATTTTAAAATTTTAAAATAATTTTGTTATACTCGAATCCGTAACGTAACGCTGAGCAACCGACTAGTTTTAAAACTAAATCATTAGGGTCTTGTTAATATATATTATTCATTTTATTTTTTAAGCTTGAAAAGATTTAAAAAATAAAAAGTTGAGAGATCTGTGACGTATCATCTTTATTAGCATAAATACATCTGAAACTAACTTGATACAGTAAAAAGATAAATTGGTGGATTAATTCTAGCATAAGATTGATTATGGATGAAAGTGATTAACTATTATTAGCTGCATTTATTACTAATTATTGCCGTAAAAGTGAGTTATTTATCCTCTCTATGTTTTTTTTTCCTTCAAATAAATGCCTCGTGCTTAGAATTGTAAAAATATATTTACACTGCATATTCGAATGTGTACATAAGCCAAATTGGATCAACTGCGTAAATGATTTCATTTTTTTTGTAATCATCAACCAAAATTAATGGGTTCTACCATACAAAGCAACTTCTCATGAATAATTTCAGTTATTGCGATATTTCATGCTATTTTAAATATAAATATAGTGGCATTCATCCATCTAAAGCAAAACGAAGACAAAGTTTTAGATTCGAACATTTGCCTTTATTTTATAAAGAAAACGAAGACATTGATAATTCTCACAACAGGTAAAACAACGAAACGATGAATTATTTTGCAAGAAAAAAAAATGTTTCCATTTTGGCTATGTAAACATCTCTTAACCATATAGTTGAAGTTTCCGAGAATGATAGTTAGGAGGCTTTGGCACATAATAAAGAAGGAAAGATTAAAAAAAAGGGTCAGGAGCCTCACATGAAGAAAGTATCAATATAAGAAAACAAACGTGCCTTTATTGTTGTTATTATCAAACAAACTTAAGATACCGGCAAGAAAAATAAAATGAAAAAAGAAAAAAATCAGTGATTGGGCATTAAATCATAGGAAATAAAACCCTAAAGACTTATTGCAAGAACAAATCCTGGTAGAATCAATCCCCGCCTTTAATTGATGAATCCAACGGTTCAGATCTCTCCACCGCTAGTGCTTATCAGTCACCTGTTTCCTCACTTCACTCTGCTCCCTCTCTTTCTCTCTATCTCTCAAAAAGCATGGCTGAAGCCACCATCTTCATTGGTCACCTGCTACAATATTCACTCGCCCTCTGATCTATGTGTTTATAACCAAAGTTCCAATCTTTACAGCAAATCCACAGTTTAACACGAAATCCAAACTTGGGTTTTCATTTTTTTTCTTTCTGGAGTTTTAATTTTTGGGGTTACACGGGTTCCTGGTTTTGATCAACAAGACCTACTAATTCGAGCCTTATAAACAAAACCCAGTTTTGTTTGATCACTTTTTAGCTAAAATTTAGCTCAAAGTTTTAATCTTTACACTTGTATCTAATGATCACAGACACATATTCAAAGGTTTTGCCTGATATCTCAAAGCGATCAATGCTTAAAAACGAGGATTTGAGCAAGCTAATTAGAGAGCAAAGGATACAACAAGAAGCAGCAAGTGAAAGAGAGAAAGAGCTCAATATTTATCGAAGTGGGTCAGCCCCACCTACTGTAGAAGGGTCTTTAAGCTCTATTGGAGGGTTGTTTGACGGTACAGGGATTCCTGGTATAAAAAATGGCAATAAAGGTGAGTCTTTGAGCGAAGAGGAGTTAAGGTCTGATCCAGCTTATGTTAAGTATTATTATTCTAATGTGAACTTGAATCCAAGACTGCCTCCTCCATTATTGTCAAAGGAGGACTGGAGATATGCGCAGAGATTACATGGTAGTAGTGGTGGTTCTAATTCTGCAGTCGGCGATAGAAGGAAGGGAAGTAGAGGTGGTGATAATGAAGGGCAAAGGTCACTTTTTGCAGTGCAGCCAGGGTTTGGAGGAGGGATGGAGGAGAACGGGAACGGGAACGGAGTGGAGTGGGGAGGAGATGGGCTTATTGGGTTGCCAGGACTGGGCTTGGGAAGTAGGCAAAAGAGCATTGCAGAGATCATTCAGGTAAAGCTTGAAAATTTTTGTTTCTTGTTTGGACTTGTATTGGTATTTGGAAGATTGATTGCTGCTATTGTACTTTTACATTATCCGATAAAGATTTTCAGTGATATTTGGTGCAATTTTGTTGATACCACCACTCTTTTTATGTGGATAAATGCTGCCTCAAGTTGACTCGTTAGAGCTATTCAAAATTTTTGTTTGCTAGCCTAATTATCTTATGCTCTTTTCTGTTTTTATTGCATGTCGATGGCTATCGCTTGATATGAAAACTCTACTTGTTTTGATAATTAGTTGACTTAATTATACACTACCAAACTTTGTTTGTGTTTAAACATGTTTGTATGCTATATTGAGGCTCACTGGTATACATTGTTCATATTTTTCGTTTCCAGTTATTTTTTTTGTCTTTGTGAGATTTTATTTCAAGAGTTGAACAACTCAACTCAGGCAAGTCTTACTCTGAAACTACCTGGAGCCAGCTACAGGGATCTTTATTATTCTCTGTTGTTAAATCCAATTTTTTGACGAGGTATTGCTAGTTTTTGAAACTTCCTCTTGCACTACTTCGGTCAACTCTCCTTTTTTTTTTTTTTCAAAAAAAATGCTTATTAGTTTCTCTCCATTGGCAGATATGGCTATTCCCTGTTTGGCACCTATTGCTTTGTTTGTTTGCCAACTAAATATTGTCTTTAAAAAGATGTGCCTGTCTTTATCTTTGGAAAAGAAGAAGTTATGTTGTTATTCTTGCTGTTGTTTAATGGCATTACTCTGATGTGTCGAGGAGTGAGTAGTGGTACTGGAGAGGGACCGAGGTCTCTCCCCATGACAACTTGTCTATTTCCGGGAAGAAAAAGTTGGGGTAATATAGTTTGATGTTGGCCTGAGAATGAGATCCTGTTATTCGATCCTTTTGCTTCCTTCATATGTTTTATATTTCTAATTGTTTGTTTTGTGATCACTTGTAGTGCTGAAAATACGTGGAACTGGATGAGACTGTCATTATTCTCTTTCATCATTCCTAATGCCTAATGGTGTTGCATGAAGCATGCATAAATGTCTGTATGCAAGCATTCGTTATTGTATTTTAAAGCATACATGTTTGTTATGGGAAGCCTAATGAACAAAAGGCTTCATTTTGAAAAATATCTACAGTCTACTGCCAGATTTTTGCCTAATTTCTTGATTCGAGCATGTAATTGATGTAATTCGCAGATGATGGTTTTGGTGATTGACTCATGTTTAAGCAAACTAGTTTCTATTTGAACGAGCTATCTCCTTTTTCCATCCCTGTTATTCTTGATTGATTATATTTGCTCAATATTTTACTGAATTTCTTTGTCTTTCACTTGCTTTCTTGATGATAGATTAATGGTTTAATTTTGCAATACAGCATGATATGGGTCATGGAAACTCCATCTCAAGGAACCCTTCACGTCCCACTAGCCGCAATGCATTTGATGATGATGTAGAAACTTCTGAAGCTCAGTTTAGTCAGCTGCGTGGTGATCTGGCATCTATCGATGCTCTACGCTCCAGCTCAAACAAACAGGGCATGTCTGCAGTTCAAAATGTTGGTGCATCAGCTTCTCATACCTATGCTTCTGCTTTAGGTGCTTCCTTGTCACGAAGCACTACACCTGACCCGCAGCTTGTAGCTAGAGCTCCTAGTCCTCGCATTCCACCTATTGGAGGAGGTAGGACTAATTCCATGGACAAAAGAGATGTGAGTGGTTCACACTCTTATAATGGCATCTCAACAAGCTTGAATGATTCTGAGCTCGTAGCTGCTTTGTCTGGGTTGAAGATGTCAACAAATGGTCTAGTCGATGAAGAGAACCACTCACGGTCACGAACCCAGCATGAAATTGATGATCGCCATCACCTGTTCAATTTGCAAGGTGATCAAAACCATGCCAAGCAACAATCATATTTAAATAAGTCATCTGCTAGCTCAAATCTTAAATTACCCTCGACACTTACTCTGAATGGTCGAGGGGGTCTCCTTCTAATCACCAGAATGCAGATAGCCTGAATTCCCCATATGCTAACTATGGCTTAAGTGGGTATCCTGTGAATTCTTCGTCACCATCCATGATGGGAAGCCCTCTTGGGAATGGGAGTCTGCCACCTTTGTTTGAAAATGCTGCTGCTGCTGCTATGGTTGGAACTGGGTTGGATTCTAGAGTACTAGGTGCTTTAGGGCCAAACTTAATGGCTAATGCAGCAGAATTGCAAAATCTCAGTAGACTTGGGAACCAAACTGCAGGTGTGCCTCTTGTGGACCCCTTATATCTTCAGTACTTGAGATCAAACGAGTATGCTGCACAGCTTGCAGCTCTCAATGATCCCATGTTGGATAGGGAGTATGTTGGTAATGGATATGATTTTCTCCAAAAACTTCAATTAGAAACATTGCTGTCCTCCCAAAAGTCACAGTATGGCGTTCCATACCTCGGCAAATCTGGTAGCTTGAATCATAACTACTATGGAAACACAGGATTTGGTCTCGGCATGTCCTATCCTGGAAGCCCATTAGGGGGACCCCTTCTTCCAAACTCACCTGTTGGATCGGGTGCTCCTGTGAGGCACAGTGAACGGAATTTGCGATTTTCTCCTGGGATGAGGAATCTGTCTGGGGGTCTCATGGGATCTTGGCACTCAGAAGCTGGTAGCAACCTGGATGAAAGTTTTCCTTCCTCTTTACTGGATGAGTTCAAAAGCAATAAGACTAAATGTTTTGAACTCTTGGAAATTGCTGGTCATGTTGTTGAGTTCAGGTATATACTGCCGCCTGATTGAACTTTTTTTTATATTTGTAGTTTAGGCATCCTGAATTTTACTTATTTTATTTGTATTAAATTCAACGAACAGTGCTGATCAGTACGGGAGCCGATTCATTCAGCAGAAACTTGAGACTGCCACGACGGAAGAGAAGAACATGGTTTTTGATGAAATTATGCCTCAAGCCCTTTCACTAATGACCGATGTGTTTGGTAACTATGTGATTCAGAAGGTATTTTCTCTTCACAAAACTTGCTTTCTTATGATGTACTTGTTGTGCCTTTGATACTACTTTGCCTTTTTATGCTTGTCATATGATGCAATCTTTTCACAATCTTTTCACTCACTCTCACCTACACTTAAGAAGGCAAAAAAAGAGAAGAAAAAAATGAGTTACATATAGAAACTTTCCTTTTTGTCTTCAGTTTTTTGAGCATGGATCTGCATCCCAAATACGAGAACTGGCTGACCAGCTATCTGGCCATGTGCTGACCCTTAGCCTTCAAATGTATGGCTGTCGCGTGATCCAAAAGGTATGCTTCTCAAGGATCTTACTTATCACCATTATTATTTCTAAAGGTGTCTTGTTATTCTATAAATAGTTTCTCATCTATAATCTGCAGTCGTACCTTATGCTTGGGTTTAATGCTCATTGATCTTAATAACCAGGCTATAGAAGTGGTTAAACTGGACCAGCAGACTAAAATGGTGACAGAGCTCGATGGTCATATTATGCGTTGTGTACGTGATCAGAATGGGAACCACGTCATTCAGAAGTGTATTGAATGTGTACCCGAAGATGCTATACAGTTTATTGTCTCAACATTTTATGATCAAGTTATGACACTGTCCACTCATCCATATGGTTGCCGTGTGATACAGGTACATAAACTCTGTTTTTGCTTGTCATGAACATCTTTGTACGTTTCTCTATATGAATAAGTTGTAGAGGTCCAACAGTTACTGTATAGATTTGATATGAATTTATGTCACAGAGAGTGCTGGAGCACTGCCATGACACCAAAACCCAGCGTATAATGATGGATGAGATTTTGCAATCTGTTTGCATGTTGGCACAAGACCAATACGGAAATTATGTTGTACAGGTTTGTTGTACATATTTGAATGCTTCTTAAAGTATATGCACTTATTTATTTCATTATGGATTCCAACCTTGGGGTAGTGTGTAGTTTTTTATGTTTTTAACATGTTTGGCAAGCATCTGCCATGCGGCAGAAGTGCCAATATCTGACTTGTTGGGTACAGCCCTAGCTTGACGTTGAAGCATCCCTCTTTATGGCATTTTCTGCTTGTTGAAAAAATTAATTCTAATTGATACCTACCCTTAATTGTATGATTGATCTATGCTAGATAGAAACTTGTGTATAGTTCGATGACAATACATTATGTTTGATCCCTTTACTGTTGTGGACTCAAGGTTGTTGAGTCAATAAGAGAACAACTAATTATCATAATATTGGTGGAAACTTCTCTTGTTGTATCTGTTAAATGAACATAATGAACAAATCCTTCTAAACCTACTTAAATTTTGGGAATTTCTAATCAATGACATCATATGTGAAGTTCAACATGAAGTTTAATTGCTGCCATACCTCAAGTTGCTGAAGCTTTTGGCTGTTATTCATTGCTAACGGCTTTGTATTTCCCTCCTCAGAGACATAATTCATGCTCATCTTCCTGTTTTGCATATTATTATAATAACTGCAATCTCTCTCTCTCACAAAATACAGATTTGGTTCCATTTCATGTTTATACTTACGTGTTCTTGTTGCTTTCAAATAATGTTGCAGCATGTGCTGGAGCATGGGAAACCACATGAGCGTTCAGCAATAATAAAGAAATTAACTGGGCAGATAGTTCAAATGAGCCAGCAGAAGTTTGCCTCCAATGTTATAGAGAAATGTTTAACTTTTGGCACTCCTGCAGAACGCCAGGCCCTGGTGGATGAGATGCTTGGCACCACTGATGAAAATGAGCCTCTTCAGGTTTTTGACTTGTCTGTGTGCTGTACACCTCTCAACATGCTGATAAGCATTTAAAGTTTCTGCATATGGATTTGCATTTAAAGTTACTGCAGTTTCTCACTTCTTTGCCTTGTATATAACTCATCAATATTTTTCTAATCAGTAAACTAGTTAGGTTTCATTCTCTTTAGTTAAAGTTTTAATTGGTAAATTGTGGTACACTCTTCTGTTTAGCTGATATAATGTGATTCTGTGGGACTTTATTTGTTAATTTGTTTCAAAAGGGTGATCCTCTCTTTGCAATGTCTTTGCAGTCGTTGATTCCCTGTTTCTTGTTATATGCAGGCCATGATGAAAGATCAGTTTGCAAATTATGTTGTACAGAAAGTGCTGGAAACGTGTGATGACCAGCAACTTGAACTAATCCTCAATCGAATAAAGGTTCACTTAAATGCTCTGAAGAAGTATACTTACGGGAAACATATAGTTGCGCGTGTAGAGAAACTTGTTGCAGCTGGAGGTAAGCAGACTCCCTTTTCCTGCTCGATTATATTTGGTTTTCTCGAACTGATTTGCACAAAAGGAAGAACATCCCTAAATGCTGCAGGCTTATGGTTCATTGATTTTTGCCCACTATTTGTTGGTATGTTCTTTTTTTTTTTTTTAATGGCTGATTAAGGACATAAGTGGTTGGATGAGCATTTTTTGGTGTTCAGTGTGCAAGAGGAGCAGCAGGATTAATGATGTTTCATTTCAAGTTTTGTTATTTCTGTAACCAGTAAAAAAATTATTTTATTTTAGTACTTAAAATGTGCTGGTAAATATTAGATCTTTTGAGGGTTGCCAAAAGAAAGCTTTTCCTGCACAAGTGCCTGGATTCCATATGCATGTCTCAAACACTAAATTAGGAAAGCTTTTAATATTAATGCCTTTTCTTACACTAAATGAAAGAGAAAAATGCATGCAGAATATCTGCAAATGATCTTTGAGCTCTTCGGCATCCTACTTTTATTTTTTCCTTTTCTTTCGGTAAATATTAGATATTTTGAGGGTTGCCAAAAGAAAGCTTTTCCCGCACAAGTGCCTGGATTCCATTTGCATGTCTCAAATACTAAATTAGGAAAGCTTTTGATATTAATGCGTTTTCATACACTAAATTAATAAGGAGAAAATTGCATGCAGGATATCTGCAAATAATCTTTGAGCTCTTCCGCATCCTAGTCTTTACTTTTTCCTTTTCTTTTTCCATGTTATGAAGGGCTCATGTCATCGATTTCCTTGCCTAATTTCCATCTTTCGTGTTGGTGACGACATATGAGATTTTCAGGATTGGAAGATTAATGTTGCATGTTAATTGCATTGCTTGTGCAGAAACGGGTCTAACAAGTTCTATCTTTGTTGTTCTGTTTGCAGAGAGGAGAATTAGCTTCCTTACTCTGCATCCTACTGCTGCTTAGAAGGCTAGAGTTGTACAGCTAACTGAGGATAGTATTGAGCGCCTCTCTTTGTTAATTTCTTTTCATATCTAGTAAGGGTTCCGACTATTTGTGGGATAGATTGGAGCCGAATGAAAAATAAGAACTGTCAGTTGTACTTAAAACTGTACATTTTTAGTTTTGAGGATATACCTAGAATCAGGTTTGCTGAGGCTCAGATGGTGAACATGCTGATGTCCATGCAGAGAAGATAAAGAATTACTGCACAAGTTTTAAGGGTGTAAAAAGGGAGGTAGTTAATTTATGATCGTGACTGTACAAAATGTTACCAGGCGGAAACAGCTTTTGTGTTCAGGAGAGTATGGAATTTTCCTAATGCATGAGATTGTTTATCTTTGTTATTTAAAAAATGTTTATCCCCCACTTATCATGATTGTTTGCTTGCATTGTAGAGGAATGGTTTTCAATATGTAGCATGTCATGATTTGTCAAGATTGTAATGCATGCCGTGTGAATCATGTCACTCTACTTATCGGGTTTCATGAAAGGTGTCATATACCGGTTGAGAAGTTCAATTCTCAGTACTCTTGACTCTTTGTGCGCTCAACTGTCGGGATTTCTGTAGACAGTTTGCCTTGAATGCTCTTTTTCGAAGGGGCACTCACGTGAAGATGTGGTTGGAAGGCAACCCTTTCACTCAAATAACCTTCTCTTAGAGATTTTTTTTTTTTTTCTTTTCCTTTTCAGAAGGCAAAACCAAACTGCTTGGTCTACTCTAGAAGCTGATTAAACACCTCAATGGATAAGCTAAAAAACATTGCTTTGGAAACGAGTTCTGAGTATTGTTGAGATACTATTTTTTTCAAGTTTCAACAATTATCTTACATCCATGCATCCTAGATTATGCATTGGTTTCTTAAACTTGTTCAAAAAGAAGTTCCCGAACCATCTTACAATTATTGAAATCTCATACAATTTTTAGTACGGGGATAAGCTGAGGCCTGAACAGGAGGAGTTTATAGATACGCACGAGCTAGCAAAAATCAAGTACCTTGGATTACATTATAAATTAGTCCGTTTTGTTTGGAGAAAAGAATTAATTAGTTTTTTTTTTTTAAAAAAAGACCAATCAATTTATGGCATTTGGAATTGGTTTCACAGGAACCCATCCTTCCTTGTGCCTAATCTGGAGACAAGTGATATTATCATCCTGGAGAAGTAACGTTATTGAGCTTGCTCAGAATGTAGACTAACTACAAGCACAAGTTCAGGAATGGAGCAGTTTGGATAGTAGTTCATTCGGATTCCTTGCTTCATCATCTCCCCATGCAACCGTTTTAGAGCATCTTTTCCCATTCCCATTAACAAAGATAGGTTGGAAAAGATCTCCTCAGTCAGCTTAAAAATTTATGTTGAGTACTGTTCGACTGCCATCAAGAACATCAAGTCACACCAATCGAGTTTTTGATGCTCAGGGACTACATAGCCTTGGCCGTATCCATGAGTGTCACTGGCTGCACAATTGCGTTGGTCTTTACCTGAAAGAAACCCCATTCCTTGCAGGCAAAATCTAGCTTCTTCCGTTCATCGTTGTCTCCGTTGACTAGCAAGGAGAAATTTATGACTGGAATTTCGGATGAAGTTGGACTTAATTCAGTTTCTACAGCTGGTCTGTCTTTGTGTTCCTGCATATATCTTTCAGGGACACATTGATAGATCTTTTCTCACCATTTCTTGGACACTTGGTACCGGCAATTATTTTCCCCAACCCAACACCTCATCTCCCTTCATGCCTCCATTTTCAACTTTTGGATTCATTTCTGTTTGTTAAATTTGGTTCCCTAACGTGAGGTACACATACATGCAAGGTAGCAGACTTGCTTCTTTTAAACTAAAAACAAAAGGAATCTATTGCTTCCACTTCTTTATAGATCCCCTTAAAAGAAATTATTGGAGTTCGCTTTTTGTTTGACTTATCAACTCAAAATGTTTAATATAGAAGAGAGATTCTTGCTTTCGGATGTGTTAGGCGGTGACGACAACTTAGCTTTTTGAAGAGCCATTGTTGCTTAGCTCTGAGCTGCACAACCGGTTTTGGCCGTTACATTTTATGATAGCAATTCTATCTAGTTGGAATAAGAAATATTGCAAGAACGTAAAAACATTGTCTTGGTCTGTCACAATTCTTCGATAGTTCGATCTCAAGTATCTTTCTAGGAGTCACTTTCTGTTGATTTTATATGATTTCTTCTTAGAGTAGTTTGCCAAACACAAGATCATAATTGTTTCTTGTAATGTAACGATCTCCATGAATCATTTTTCTTTTCTGTAGTCCTCGATGTTACTCATAATCAAACTAACGGTGGGTTTGTATGAAGTTTTTGCCAGCATAACATTATTTCTTTTATATATAAGATTTGGAGTTTAAGTTGATTTCCTTAATAAATGACTTCTACGTATGACTGTCAACTTTTTTATTCGATGTATATTGTACAGGAAAAAAGGATATGGGGTGTCATTATAATGAAACATCTAAAAATCACTAATTGTTATTTACTAAAATCTTAATTACATTATTAGTGTGTTTTCAAAAAATGATGAAATTAGTCTCAATTAATATAAATTCTAACTCGCTATTCAAAAACAATTAAAAAAAAATACTCGAATTATCTTTTTAAGTTGTCTTTTTAGAATTATGCCCGTCAATTTGATCATTTTATTCTTTTACTATGTCTCTCTCGCCAACTATACTATATACTAAAATCAATTGGTGTTTCACTATATCTATGCTCTTGCTACATTAAAATTAAAATGGCATCGTTTTGATCCTCTTAAACCCAAAACAATGCCGTTTTCCAAAAAAAAAAGAAGTGATTTTTTTTATCAATTTATCTGATTATTTACACTTTGATTCTCTAAGTTATTAATTTATATAAAATAGTTCCTATTGTTAATTAGTATTACAAACAGGTAACTAGACTTTTTTGATTGGGTTTTGGTTTATTTTTTCATTATTTATTATTTACTCAAAATAATTTTTCCCTATAATTAATGGTTGTTGTTGTTGTTGTTATTATGTGTAAAGACTCATTAACTAAAATTAAATATTCTTCTAATATAAATTGATTAAGCACATTCTTCTAATTTGATTTTTTTAAAATAATTAATTACATGTTTTTTTATCAAAATAAAAAATATTCCTAAGATATATTTAAACTCATTTATGTATATTATTAAATATTGTATAATACATATTAAATTAATTTTTTTACAATCAATGTTAATTAATTTTTATGTTATGCTTATATTTTTGAATTATTTAAAATATTAAAGCATAATATATAATAGTCTTATTTGTTACAACACGTGAGTATTAAGCTAGTATTGTATACTAAAATCAAATAGTGTTTTACTGTAGCTAAACTAATGCTACAGTAAAATAAAGAGGGTACCGTTTTGGTCCTTTTAGACCCAAAACGATGCCATTTTTCCAAAAAAGAAAAAGTGATTTGTTGTCAATTTATTGGATTATTTACATTTTGATCTTCTAAGTTATTAATTTATATAAAATTCTCTATTGTTAATTAGTATTACAAACAGGTCCCTAGACTTTTTTTTATGATTGGGGTTAAGTTTATTTTTTCATTATTTTTTATTTACTCAAAATAAGTTTTTTTCCCATAATTAATGGTTTTTTTAAATTTTTGTAAGGACTCATTAAGTAAATTTAAGCATTCTTCTAATATAAATTGATGAAGCACATTCTTCTAATTTGATTTTTTTTAAAAAATAAAGAGTTAATTGTATTTTTTTATCAAGATTAAAAAATATTCCTAAAATATATTTAAACTCATATATATATATATATATTGCATAATACATATTAAATTAAATAAATTTTTACAATTAGTATTAATTATTTTTTTATTTTATGCTTACATTTTTTAATTATTTTAAATATTAAAACACGAGTATATAAGAGACTTATCTGCGGTAGCGTACTTGGTATTAAGCTAGTTCTTTAATTTTAGAGATTGAAAGTTATTTCTTGTAATACTAATGATTTTCAGTCCATAAAACGATTTTTCCTCGCAAATAGTTTCAATGTCACTGGTGATCAAAGTCAAATTGATTAAAGAAAGTGTATGAAGCGGCAGCCGGCAGGCATTGTTGCTTTGACATGTCATTATTGTTCATTTGTAGTTAAAAAAGAGTTACTATTAAGCACGATAATTTTGTCACTAGAGGCCAAGAGCGGATAGCGTTGTAGTTGACGTCGTGACAAAAGAAGAATGTGGTCGTCATGATCTAATTATGATCTTCTTCTCATAAAGCCAAATTGGCAGAAGTTTGTTAGGATCGAAATGCTCTTATGGCCAAATTTTGAACTCACCCATTAAGTAATAATGAGTGGCGATTACACTGTGTGCATAAACAACTTATTAAAAATTTTGAATCCATTCATGTCAATGGCATATAAAATAGTAAGGCCTCTTTGCAAGCGTTTTCTAAAGATTGTTTTATGAAAAATGCATGTATACACAGAAATCGGATTAAAGTTCCATAGAAAACCAATTGCATTGATTCTATACCAAGGATTTCTAATAGTCGGAGGTCCAATTCAGAATTAGTGTATAGCTGAGGGACTAATATGAGATTACCCCAGAATATATATGATGCGGTAAGTCATGATTTGTCTAAATTTTAATGCATGCCCTTCTTGGAACGCATCCCCCAAGTGCAATTGTTTCATCAACTAGCCAAGCTCTGCAAACCAAAATTGGTTTCAAATGTTCCTTTTCAAGCTAGCATGGAATGCCAGGCTAAATTATTTAGGATTAAAAGTTTCATACTCTTTGTTCCTATGGCGTTAATTATTGAAGTCCCGTATAATTCTTGCCATCCGAAAAAGGTTGAGCTTGTAGCTGAACTAGTATTCACATCTTCCTTTATTTGTCGTCACGGGTCTGGCGCTTGAGTATCTCCCTCGTGACAAAAACAAACCTGATCAGGTCTAAATAGAAAGCAAGAGTTCATCCTTGGGAATTTTAACAAACACAACATAGCTTTGAATCACAGAACGCACATGCGTATTCTGCTGCTGGCTTGGAAATCATTTCTTATTTGTCATGATGCTAAATAGAAAGAAGTTTTAGCATTCAGTTCAGTTCAATCGCTTTCGTTTCCAACTTTCAGAAGCTCAGTGTTGGCTTTTCCATCCATTTTCTTTGATAAAGTATATCTAAGGTAATCACCATACTTGATGCTTTTGTACATTATAGGGCGATTGTAGTCATCCACCATTGTCTCCACTGGACTGAGTTCCACTTCATCATCCGGCATCACAAATGTTGCAATGGACATTCTTGCCGCTGCCACATTCGTCGCTGCTCTGTGCTCAATGCTTTGGCATACTCCATTGCTCCAAAAATGGGGGAAAAAAACGAACAAGAAGAAAATCAAACTTACACGATAATACGAGTTGCATTTTTTGTCTTCTAATTCTTAACGACCGTTGTATTCTAGTTTCCTTGTTAGTAGAAGTGGCTAGTAATTATTTAAGCAACACTAGAAAACAACGTCAAATTCTGACCGTATCTTTTACGCTAAGATACAATATTCACGCATTAATTCTTATGAATTTCCATAAAATATTAATGGTTCGGATTTTAATGTTGTCGCCACAAAACCAAATCATGAGTACGGTTTTGAACCATATATCAATATATACCTCAATAACATCACCAATGTTTACAACTATGGCATTTGGAACTGGTTTCACAGGAACCCATCCTCCCTTGTGCCTAATCTGAAGGCCAGCGATTTCATCATCTTGCACAAGTAAGGTTATAGAGCTTGAATCAGAATGAGGACTAATACCGAGCACAAGATCAGGCCTCGAGCAGGCCGGATAGTAGTTCATTCGTATTCCTTGCTTCATCATCTTCCCGTGCAACCGTTTCAGAAAATCTTTATCCATTCCCATCAACAAAGACAAGTTGGGATAAATTTCCTCCACCAGTCTAAATATCCCTGTTGAGTACTCTTCTACTGCCTCTATAATTTAAAGAGAGGAGACCAGAAAAAGTAGAACAGGAGACAAATTATTTGTTATTGTTGCAATTTGCAAATACTGTCCAATTATGTGGCAAATTAATCACTGAAGTGCATACTTGAACCCTGGTATGATAACCGGCCAGCAATTCATTTTCTTGAATTTTGATGGGAGTGTCATCAAGAACATCATGTCGCACCAATCGAGTTTTTGATGCTCAGAGGCTACATAAACTTGGCCATATCCTTGAACATCATTCACTGCCATTGCATACTTGTTTTTATCTTCCATTGGAAGTTCGAAAAATGCTGCCACAACAGCCTTCATTTTCTTTGGCACCTCTTGTGGCACACCATGATTTGTTATCTACAAAAGAAAAATTTCACAGTTATGTTATTGTAGCACAAAATAAAATTTTCAGGCACATGCCGTGGCATTAGTTTGTTTTTACCTGAAAGAAACCGCACTCTTTGCAGGCAAAGTCTAGCTTTCTTCGTTCATTTTTGTCTCCATTGACTAGCAAAGAGAAGTTTATGATTGGAATTTCTGAGGAAGCTGGAGATAGTTCAGTATCAACTGGCCTGTCTTTGTTTTCTTGTATGTATCTTTCAGGGAGAGATTGAGAATCTTTTCTTACCATTTCTTGGACGCTTGACACCGGCAAAGATTTTCCCCAAACCCGCACGTCATCTTCTTGTATTGCTCCGTTTTCGACTTTTGGATCCATTTCTATTTGTTAAATTTTGTTCCCTGGGCTCAAGTATATATATATGTGTGTGTAAGTCGATATGTAGCAGATTTACTTGTTTTAAACTCAGAAAAGAATCTATTGCGTCCACTTCCTTATAGATCCCGTTAATATAATCATTGCTGTTTTGCTTCTTGTTTGATTTGCAAACTTAAATAGAATCTTGATTTTGTTTCTGATAGACGGTGTCAACATGGTAGCTTGAAGAGCTAGCCTTTGTTGTTTAGTTCTTGTTGCAGAGTCTATTTTGGCTTTGTTATTATGATAGCATTTCTTGTTGGAATGAGTAACGCAGGTACTAGTAAACAATCTGTCTTGATGTGAAATCACTTCTTCGACAGTTCTTAAGCATCCTTTCAGGAGATCACAGAGGTCACTTTCTGTTAAAATTGTATATTTATTTGATTTGTGGAGTTTTTGGATTTCAAGAGGCCCCTTCATCTTGCCTTCAAGAAACTACTACTTCAAATAGTGTATGAGAAATTTTATAATACATAAGGAGTAACTAGTGGTATGTATAGTAGTTATTTTTGGATCCACTTTGAGGAGAGAGATAGACATACAAGAGAGAGAGAAAAATAGGAGAGAGAAAATAAAAAAATTTAAGCAGACGTGGAAATCTTCTTATAACTTTTGGTGAATATAGATGTAATTTCTCTCTTTTTTATGTGTCTATGTCTCTTCTCAAAGTAGGCACAAGGAGTAACTACGGTACATGCCACTAGTTACTCCTTGTGTATTATAAAATTTTTCATGCTAACACTACAAGAATGCAGGAAATCGTAGACGGAAATTAGCCGTCTTAATTACCGACTAAATAATTTTTAAAATTTTTTATTTTTAACCGTCCAGAGACAGATTAGCGAATATTCCGTCAATAAGAACTTGTTAGAACACGCTACAAGACTCGCAGGAATGGCGGTCGAACCAATATCGTGGCTAATTATTGATACATATAGAGACGTGTTTTCGCACCCCAACCATGAGAAATTTTATAATACTTAAGATGTAATGGATTTATTTTGAGAAAAGAGATAAACATAAAAAAAATTTAAAAAAAATTGAATTAGTGTAGAAATTTTTTTAACATTTTTAATGGATCCAAATGCAATCTTACGTATTTACTTCTTTTTCTTAAAAAATAAATTTATAAAATAATTACTATAAATGTTATTAATTCAAATTTCAACTACACAAGATTTAGCAAAGGAAATCAACTCGGCAACAATTATTATTTATTCAAATGACAATTCTAGTACAAAACTACTAGAAGTTTATATGGATCATATATTTACACTTTCAATATGATTATTTTGTTGGGGATGCGTGAAAAACGGGATTTAGTTTTATCATTTTTCTTTTCAAAGGTCATCAATATTATAAATCAAATTAACTGCACGCATATTATTGCTCATATTTTCTTAATAACAAGTACGCTCTTTTATCTAATTTTTTTTATATAAATTTTATTTAATATTCAATTTAATACAGTTTTTTCTTTTAAGAATTCATATCTAGTCTTTTTTAGTTACAAATAGTCTTTTTAATTCATTATTATAATTTATATATTTTATTTTGTTGAATTAAATTTTGTTTTATTTTTTATGCCTCTTAGATAAATCTTAAATTCATATTTAGAATTTTGTTCGGCAAAAATTAAATTTTTTAGTGTTACCCGCGCAATAAGTGGGATGACCGTCTAGTTATATAGTATAGATAAGTTTTCATCAAAATAAATATTCATTTTAATTTTTTATTCAAAATTTGAATTTTATTGATGATCTCTTGAATTTTTATAAAATATTATCAATCTTTAAATTTGACGTTGGTCCATGGTGAAATTTCGATATATGAATAGAAAATAAAGGATTGAAATTCTCTTTATTATTGATTTTGAATTTAATGATTTAGATCAGGCGAGAGAAATAAAATATTAAAAATTAAAATTGTTTTTATTTTTATTATACACTAAATCATGATTAAATAATAATCATGTAATTTGAATTTAATAATTTAGTTTTAAACAACATGATTTAAAAACACAAGAAAATTCAAATCCCAAAACGGAGTGGTTGGAGAGATGAATTTGTCATAAATCCTAGATGTAGGTGAATCGATTTTCTTTTTGCTACCACAAGGTTCAATGTGACTGAATCATTAAAACACAAGAACGTCCTCAATTGCTGAAACAGGAAAAACCTAGAAATCAAAATGTATCTTTTTCTTCCGGTTACCATAATAAAATTCAAGCTCTTTGCATTAAAAAAAAAAAAAAAAAAAAAAACGGAGGCAACAGTCTTGGATGTGATAGCGAACATGCCTGCAGAGTGCAGACATCCTTGTAGTAGACATACTCGTCAGACTACCAATCAAATCTCTTGTGCGATTCTAGTGTGTTTCGAAACCTTGATGTTTCTTGTTAACCAGCATAAGTTCACCAGAAAGCACTTAAATCACACAGTTCTTATAGATCATGAGAAAAAAATAAAACAAAAAATTGAAACGAAATCCATGCTTGTGTCTAAGGGGCTACAACCATCTATACATCTTTATGGCATTCAAAAGGCAGCAACAAAGGAGTTGGATTTTCCATCCCCCTCTTCAAAAAATGGTGTCACGATTTGTGTTCATTGCGATGGCATGCTGTGGCTGAAAAACAAAGATAATTTGGCTGTATGGAATTCATCAACCAGAGAATACAGGACGATACCATTTACTGATGATTCTGTTCACCCTTCCTTGGAAACTTTATTAGCCATGTTATGATTCTTTCACTGATGATTACAAGATTGTAAAGTTCCCAGATTATGTCAAAAACCCAATGCGTTTCGAGTTTTCTCGCTGAAAAGCAATTCGTGGAGAAAAAATAAATCTGCCAGTCGCATGATCATAACTTTGTCCTTTCCACCGAAAATTCTTTTTGATAGCAACTTTTGCTGGGAAGGAAAGAACCAAGATAGTAAAACCATTATCTGGTCTTTCGATTTAGCAACAAAGAGGTTTAGTGAGGTAACAACGCCTGATAAGTGCTGGTTAAGAGAAGTATGATTAGGGGTTTTAGGGGTAACACACCGCGAATTCAATTATAAGCACACATTCTGGAAATCGCATTGTCGTTAAGTTGTACGTTTTCTCCTGATGTGAACTGTGGTGTTTATAAATGTCTGTTAAGATTTTCTTCTTTGTTCGAAATTTATGAAGTTTGGCATTATTGCATCTAATTGCAAACCACTTGCATAAAATTAACCCATTCGTGGAAATTAACTGACATCTATACTGGCATATGAAATGAAGAACGTCCTAGGAAGCAAAAAGGCAGAGAAAATAAAAAAGGAAACCGAAATTAAATCAGTAGATCCCATCAAGTGGTCAATTCACACCTTGTGTTCTTGTTAAGCTACTTCTAAATACCATACATAACTAGAAATCAAGTAAATATGAAAAATAGAAAAAGCAAGACTGAAGATACAGTGTTAATGCTTCTCCTCCACTGGATTCCTGTGCTTAAATCGCCATCAATTAGGAGGACAAAAGGTAATGACATACCTAGAAGCCTTGCAAGTCTTAAGACTTGAAGCATCATCGAAGGCAAAGCTATAAGCCTTGGGACAAATTGCCTTAAAAAGATGACCAAAAATAGTAGGCTTGCAACTTTTAGGATTTGCATACTGCCCAGTACAACAATATCTATCAGTTTTTGCAGCCAAACATGCACTCTTGCAACCCACCACCTTACCCTGTCGCTTCACTTCCAGTGTAGAAGGGCAACAGACTTTCAAATCCGTCTCACACGCGGCAACTCCACACCCTACACCACCACCAACAGGCACCATAGAAACTGGAACGTTAAATCCATCAACCAAACTCACATCATAGTAATGCAAGGCAGATTTCGAAGTCCCAAGTGTCATTTCCACTAAAGTTGCTGGAGGGACACCACCAATGCCTCTGCATTGCAAGAGGCCAGCACAGTCTCCTGTCTGGCATGAACCTTTGCCAGTGTTCTCATCAAAACAGCAACCTTGTCTTGGCCAAATTCTGCCTGACCACTTGTCAGGGAGTTGGAGTACTGTTTGTTCTCCGCTGAATAGATGGAAGCCGCCTTCTCCGGGGGTCGCATGACCTGCAGTGCCAAGGATTCCCGGCCATATGCTATCCTTGCAGTTATTTACTATAATGAGTTCAGTTCCATCTGCAATTAAAAAAAGAAAAAAGAAGAAGAAACAATAAACGTCAAGAATTTCTTCAATGCAGAAATTGCAAGGAACCAGTAAACATATAGAGTTCAAATTTTGTGTGCGCAAGAGAGAAAGAACCTGTGATAGAGAGGGAGATGAGCATGCAGAGGAAATAGAAATGAAACCGATGTGAAGAAGTTGACATTTGTTTTGAATTTGTGGTGATTTTGGGACCTGTTGGTTTTATTGCATATATGTTTGAACACAAATGAAAGAAAGTAGTGGGTGTGCGAGGGAGGTGTGGGGGGGGGGGGGGGGTGGTGGTTTGAGTTTCCTTATGTTTTGCCACCATGAAAGGCTTTTGACTGATTAAACAACCGCTTTGTGCAAAAACGGTTTACTGTAACTCGTATGACAACTGCTGACTGTATATATATATTGCTGAAGTTAAGAAGCGTTGGTATTTCTTAACTAGAAGTTCTACACATAATAAATAATGGGAAACTAGTTATCTTCGTCAATTTTTCAAACTAGTGTTGCAGTAATTCAAAAGCAGAAATCATGCCTTTTCACTTTGTCATGCTCCTTTTAGCATAAGATTCCATTCTTTGGGTCCAAGATTTGATTCAAAAATAAATTTTATTGGGTGTTGGTATTCATGTGATTGATAAAGTCGTATGAGATGGAATTGTCAATGATGAAAGCTATAGCTATAATAAGTATCAGTTAATCCTCGAAATTCGCTGATGGATTTTCTCGTTAAATAAAATTTATATATGCCTGGTGTATGCACTAGACAAGCTGCAAGTCATCCTTAATTAATTTAACCATATGTATCTCGTAAAATTAATTCAAGCCAATCATATGGTTTGGGTTAATTATGAGTCGGACTCACCCACTAAAATCTCAATCACTTAAATTTATGAAAGACTCAAATATAAAAGGTTAATTAAGTAGAGCGCTTATTGAATATGTTGACATGTTATTAAATTTAAAATTTTTAATATATGTTTAAAATGAACAAAAATAATGATTAAAAATTAATTTTATCAAATATAATGATAATAAAAATAATAGAAGTGATTGTGGTTGTGAAAGAGATAAGGGCAATAATAATAGTAGGCTAGTATAATAATAATAATAATATATTTTAAAAAAATTATGTTACCACCATAAAAATTGAAATGAAAGAAAAATGATGGTGGTGGTCTAATAATAATCGTAGTCAAAGAGGAATGGTGGCTGGATGATAGTAATAATATTTTTTTCAATTTTATTTTAAACAATATCGTTAATGAAGACAGACGTGACAGTGATTGTTGTAGAAGTAATTTATGCATAATAAATAAAAATAACATATCATTATTTTGAAAGAAAAAAATTATTCTTTGTTTTTATTCTTTCATTTCTTCACGGGAAAGAAACTATATTTAATTTTTATTTTCATTCTCAATTTATTTCTTTCAACCAAACACTTAAAAAAGTGATAATAAAACTCCTCTTTTTATTTTCATCATTTTATTTCTTGTTACCAAACCACACTTAAAATGTCGTTTTGTTATTAGAAATGAAAAGTTCGAAATTAAAATGTAAGAATTCAAATAAAAAATTAAAGAATTTGAATGATATTTTCATTTCAATACTATGTTTTGAATAGTAATAAAGAATCAAAATAAAATTTAAAATTTTTAATATCGGATTTTTTAAATAAATAAGAGTACCGATTAAAAAAATAATTTCATCAACTATAATACTAGTAAAAATAACGAGAGGTGATAATGGGGGTAAAAGAGAAAGAGACAGAGAAGATGGTGGTGGTAATAACAATAATATAATAATATCAATGATATATATTAAAAATAATTGATGATTCTATTATAGGGGTGATAGTAAAACAAGAATGGAGTTAATAGAGGAAGAGGAGAAATGGTGGCAAAATAATAAAAATAATTTCAAATTTTTTTATCCCTAACACCAATGACAATGAAGGCTACAACAACTATGAAGGTGATAATGGTGGTAAAATAATTAATATACAATAAATAAAAATAATATATTAATAGTTTGAAGAAAAAAAATCTCATTTTCATTCCTTATTTTTATTCCTACATTTCATAAAAATCAAATTACGTTTAATTTTTATTTTCATTCCACTTTTGATTCTCATTCTCATTCTCATTTAATTTCTTCCAAATAAACACCAACGAAATAAAAATAAAATTTTTATTTCTATTCCCATCTTTTCATTCTTTATTAACAAATAATACCTAAATATTAGATACCCTCTTTGCCTCAAATAGATTGTCTTCATTTTTATTTATATTTTTATTCAAAACACTTGTCTATTTAAAATTTTTAATACTATACTTTTTTAAAATACTCCTATTTTATGATGCAAGATTAAATTAAATAGATTTTCTTTTTAAATAAAAAATGTATTTTCAAGAAAATACTGTTGAAAAATGTTGATATTGTACAATAAATTTCTAGCCCACGTTTTTATGTACGGGGACTTTTCTTTAATTTTAGAGAAGAATTTAGTTTTGTTGCGTATTGGATGACTGGAGGATATCATTGATGATTATTATTATTGTTGTTGTTTTGTTTTAATAATCCTCGTGTATGGACCCACTTTGAATACCGAGATTGAATCCCTTTTTTATTGAAATTTAGGCATATGCCATCATGTATTAGTGGGAAACTTTTTTTTTTAAAAAAAACAACAATCTTCTTTATATTTAAATTCCAATTGATAACATAAAAGACAAATCCGCTTTGTCATCTAAGTTAAAATAGTCGAGGGTAAACTATATTTTACCTTTTAAGTCATTTGAAGTTGAATCCATAATTTTTTCATTAGTTGTACGAATCTTTAAACTTTTATTTTTTTTAAAAATTTAGTCAATTTAATGATTTTTTAGTTATTATTTTCTCTTCTAAAAAGATTCAATTATTGGTATTTTAAGATGGAATTTTGTACACATGTTGAAAAAAATTCAATTCATTTTTTAGAAAAATTTCAAAAATTTTCAAAATTGAAAACTACATATTTTTTTTTATTTTTTGAACATTAAAAATTAGAAAATTGGAAAAGATAGAAAATAATGTCTAAATGATCTCAATTTTTTTGAAAAAAAAAACTCTTCATAAATCTCACTAAATGATTTTTATTATAAAATTATTTATGCAATTGTTATTTTTGAGACTAAAGGATGAACTAAATATAAAAAATTCAAAATTCTCAAAACTAATTAAAAAAAATTGAGAAACTTAATTTTAAATGATTTAAAATTCAGAAAAAAATAGACTTTTTAGCCAATAATTTATATTTGAAAAAGAAAATTTTCATGAAATAATTAAAGAAATTTGCATTTGAAAAATGACCAAAAAAACTTCATTAATCTAACATACACGCACAGAAAAAAGGGTGTCCCCAGAAATTTCCCCTATTACAGATTTATGGGAAAGCTAAAAAGAAACCAAACAGAATACAACTTAACCCAAAAATAAAAACTAAAACGCCGCTAATTAACAGAAACCTTTTGACTTCATAACCAGGGAAAGAGAACAGCATAACTGTCATGAACCAGATACCACTCCCCGGTCGGTCTAGTCTTATCGTTTCCAATTGTTCCAACCGTTTCCAGCTTTCTCGCAAGGAAACTGGGACTTCCGATTTTTATTTACTAAAACCGGCCCCTTCATCCTTAACCGGCTGACCCGGTAAAACAGAGCTGATTTTAGTTAAAACGCAAACCAATTAAAACCCCAAACCCTAACCGGTCCGTTCGGTCATCCAAACCCTTAAACTCGGTTTATAAAAAACCATTTTAACTCAATTATCTCGGTTTTCTCTCTCAAAAAACACAAAAACCCAACAGTCAAAAACACAAGTAAGTTCTATATCCTCTCCTTTAATGTTTCGTGTCTTTAGTTCTTGTCTTTCTAATGTTGCAATCTTAGTCTATGCAAAAGGGTTTTTGTTAATTTAGCTTGCTCGTTGAATTTAAGAAGATAACTGGGGGAAAGTTCATACTTGTAATGAGTTTTTGAGGTATAGAGATATATAAAGATTTAAGCTTTAGTCGTAATTGATTATTGAGGTTTGTTGAAATGGACTCTAATTTGGAGCCAATAGCGATAACATCTCAAAAACATGACCCGGCATGGAAGCATTGTCAAATGTTTAAGAATGGAGAGAGAGTGCAGTTGAAGTGTGTGTACTGTGGCAAAATATTTAAAGGAGGAGGGATTCATAGGATTAAGGAACATTTAGCTGGTCAAAAGGGTAATGCTGCTACTTGCTTACAAGTTCCTTCTGATGTTAGGCTTATGATGCAACAAAGTTTGGATGGGGTTGTGGTTAAGAAGCGGAAGAAGCAAAAAATTGCGGAGGAGATAACGAATTTAAATCCGCTTTCTAGTGAGATAGAGGTTTTCGATAATGATGTTAATACTGGGAAGGAGTTAATTGGGGTTTCGGATGCTATTGATCCTAGTTCAAGTTTGTTAGTTAGTGGAGAAGACGGGATGAGAAATAATGATGGGGAGAGGAGGAAGCGGGGGAGAGGTAGAGGCAGAGGTTCTGTTGCAAATGCTAAAGCTGTTGTCACCACAGGTAGTGGTATGCCCATATTAGGGGGTAAAAGAACGAACGATCACATTCATATGGCAATAGGGAGGTTTTTGTATGATATTGGGGCATCTTTGGATGCTGTGAACTCGGCTTATTTTCAGCCAATGGTTCAAGCAATTGCTTCAGGAGGATCAGAGGTTGCAGTGCCTTCTTATCACGACCTTCGAGGTTGGGTACTGAAGAATTCAGTTGAGGAAGTGAAGAATGATATTGATAAGCACATGGCAACTTGGGCAAGGACTGGTTGTTCTGTTTTGGTTGATCAGTGGAACACAGTAATGGGTAGAACTCTGATAAGCTTTTTGGTTTATTGTCCTGAAGGAGTGGTGTTTTTGAAATCTGTGGATGCATCTGATATTATTAATTTACCAGATGCTCTTTACGAATTGCTAAAGCAAGTAGTTGAAGAAATTGGAGTAAGACATGTTTTACAAGTCATTACTAGAATGGAAGAGCAATATATCTGTGCAGGGAGAAGGTTAACTGATACTTTTCCTAACCTTTATTGGGCTCCTTGTGCAGCACACTGTCTAGATTTGATACTTGAGGATTTTGCAAAACTTGAATGG